ACACATGGAGAAATCTTTGTAGACCTCATGCTAAGTGAACTAGGTCATAGAGAACAGATATCATCTAATTCCACCTGCGAGGTCCCTAGGGCAGTCAGAGTCATAGAGAGAGTAGAAGGGTGGGTGCCAGGGTAGAGGAGGAGAAATGGGGAATTACTGTTTAATGGGTACAGGGTTTCAGTTTGGGAAGATGAAAACGTTCTGGAAATGGCTGATGGTAATGGTTACACAACAATGTAAAAGCACGTAATGCCACGGAACTGTGCACTTAAAATGTCTAAAATGGGCCAGGCGCGGTGGCTCAAGCCTGTAATCCCAGCACTTTGGGAGGCCGAGGCGGGTGGATCACGAGGTCAAGAGGTCGAGACCATCCTGGTCAACATGGTGAAACCCCGTCTCTACTAAAAATACAAAAAAAAATTAGCTGGGCATGGTGGCGCGTGCCTGTAATCCCAGCTACTCAGGAGGCTGAGGCAGGAGAGTTGCCTGAACCCAGGAGGCGGAGGGTTGTCAGTGAGCCGAGATCACGCCATTGCACTCCAGCCTGGGTAACAAGAGCGAAACTCCGTCTCAAAAAAAAAAAAAAAAATGTCTAAAATGGTAAATTTCATGCTATGCGTATTTTACAATAAAATAAAAAAAATACTTGTAGTCTTAACTACCCCATGATGATGGTGCATTAGTACTCATTAATATAGTTAGAAATAAAAGCTAAAGAAAAATTTTACATCTAAATGTCCAACTATTGGAAACTGGTACGTGGACTAATGTGTACTCATTTAAAAATGGTCATGAGGAAGACGGCCACAGCATGGAAGAGCACAAAGCAGATAAAAGATGCAAAATCACACGAGATCACAGGAATCAATTCACACGAGAGTCCCAGCGGCCACATTTGGGACAAATGAGGATCTAAAAATTATGTCTGCAAATGATTGTAATACATGGAATAGATAGAAATCCATGTCTCCATAAGGCACTGACACAAGGGAAAAAGAGCATCTCCCACCTTTGTAGGTGACTCTTACTGTGAGGGTCACCTAGGGGACACTTGGTAGGCAGGCCTTGGGTGTCTATTTCAGAGGTGCTGCCCCTGGCTGAAGCCAGGAGTCCCTGGCCTGGGACCACGCCCTGCTCTTCTCTAAATGATGCAGGGAGGGTCCCACAGGTGGGAAGAGCTTTTGGATGTATCTGTTTTCATCCCTGCACTCTGGAGATGAGCAGACAAGAGCTCACTGACTTGTTCAAGGGGACAGATGTTGGTATCCGAGTTGGGACCCTTGGCTCCTGACAATTCAAATATCTTCACATTACCAAGTATTTCTTCACTGGAAGGAAAGTCTCCAAACTTTTGATGGTTCTCCAATCCCAGGGTCGACATAAGCATGAAATGAGATTTGTATGTGGAAAGGAAAATCAGGCCTGGTTCACAGTCGGTATTTGGGAAACCAAATTTAACAGCTTAAAAATTTTTTCATAATACAACCTCATTTAAAAAAATTCAAAAACCCATGATTTTATAATAAAGACCACTCCTAATCACATCCCCAAAGAACAAATGCAGAAGCTGAATCCTCAGCACTCTTAAGAGATTTCTCCATCACTCTATTTCTGCACTACCCTGGTCTCTTAGATTTTATTGATAATGGCTTTTTATCCTTTCCACAGGCATTTATTGAGCTCCTTCTGTACATACCCGAAAACGCCTATTTATCACTCGGTAAATAGCAGTTGTCTGCTTTAAAGCAGGGCTTCTCAACCTCGGCACCACTGGCATTTTGGGCAAATAGTTCTTTATCATGGAGGCTGTGCTGTGCATTGCAGGATGCACTAGATGACAGTAACCTCCCTCAGCAACTGTCTCCAGAAGCAGCCAAATGAATACTGAAGAGCAAGAGGACTTCTGCTTGAGAACTACTGTTTTAAGGACAACTGATGCGGCTACCTGTTCCCTGCAGCCTTGGACATTTGGTGGTGGCAGCCACCCATGCCCATGCTCACCACCACCTCGTACCCAGCGGAGCAGTGTGTAATTCCAGCTTGCTGATAACCTAGCATTTTTCAGTTCAGTCAATGGCTTCTGTCCAGAATTAATGGCTTCCCCTAAGTCAACCCCTTGGCCTCCCTCACCCAGCACTAGGTACCTCCTCCACTCAGAGGCAAGCCAAATGGGAAATTGCCCAACCTTTAAAAAACGGTCTTCAAAACTGTGGTTCTTTCAAAGTTCACATGGTGCCTGGACTGAAGCTCACACGACCTCTCATTCTCTGTCTTCAGAGTTCTGCAAATCCTAGACTGATTCACTGGATTTGGCAATTTTTTCTAAGATATGGATCCCACCCAAAGACCTCCGAGCTTAGAAACTAAGCCATCTTCTCCCATGGGGCTTCATGATCTTCAGACCACCTTGCTTTTTGTCCTTTGAATTGCCAAGGCATTCCAAACATTCTCATTTCTGCTTTGATGAAATCTCAAACTTGTTTGGTTCTTTTCACTGTATGCTGACGGGATGTGAAAGACCATTCCTCATCTTCCAACAGTCTAGGCTAGTGTGTATCTTTCTGGTGATTTTATTTACTGTCACTTAAAAAATACTTTCTTACAAAAGTACCTGCTGGGTCTGGGATTTGATGTTGCCCTACTTACAAGCAAGTAAGTTAGTCTGTTACTGTTTCATGTACGCCGGCAGGGGGCATGAGACTCCCGGGTCAGAGACAAGGGACCTGATGAGCCATGGCGCGACAAGCGGCACGGGCTCCAGTTCTTGCCCGGCCAGTCCCTTGGTGGAGCTGAGTGGCCAGAGGGTGCCTGCCCAAACAGTGGGTTGTTAGAGGAGAACATGGAGCTGGAAAACCCACTGTTTTATAGCAAGCAGTAGGCAAGCCCGTGCTCCTTCCAAAAAGTGACCTTGTCCCTCAAGTTGCTTGCTACATACAGTGTGGAGGGGAGGCCTGGGTGAAGAGCAGTCAGGGATCTGTGTTCTTGACACAGCAAAAAAGCCAGGCGGAGTACAAGAGACCCACAGAAAAACATTCTCCCCAAAGGGAAACTCGTGCTTTCTACTTGCTTGCAGAAAGGGATTTAAAATCAGGCCGGGCGTGATGGCGCACGCATGCAATCCCAGCACTCTGGGAGGCAGAGGTGGGCAGATCACAAGGTCAAGAGATCACGCCATCCTGGCCAACATGGTGAAACACCGTCACTACTAAAAATACAAAAATCAGTTGGGTGTGGTGGCATGCGCCTGTAGTCCCAGCTACTCAGGAGGCTGAGGCAGGAGAATCGCTTGAGACTGGTAGGTGGAGGCTGCGGTCAGCAGAGATCGTGCCTCTGCACTCCAGCTGGCAAGATAGCAAGACTCCATCTAAAAAAGAAAGGGGTTTAAAATTGAACAGGTTGGAAAAATTGAGTTACACACAGAGAGGCTGTGTAACTCAATTTTTCCAACCTGTTCAATTTTAAAGCCTTTTGTTTTGAGACACACAGAGGAAAAACAGGACCCTTTCTCACCCATCACTGTTCGGTTCCACTCAGCAATCTCTCGTTTTTTTAGTTTGACTACTTTATAGACTGTGAGGCTGGGTGTGGTGGCTCATGCCTGTAATCCCAGCACTTTGGGAGGCTGACGTGGGCAGATCACCTGAGGTCAGGAGTTCAGGACCAGTCTGGCTAACATGGTGAAACCCTGCCTCGACGCCTAAAAATACAAAAAAAATTAGCTGTGTGCCTGTAATCCCTGTTACTCGGGAGGCTGAGGCAGGAGAATCGCTTACATCGGGAGGCAGAGGTTGTAGTGAACCGAGATCAGGCCACTGCACTTCAGCCTGGGCCACAGAGCGAGACTGTCTCAAAAATAAATGCATACTTAAGTAGACTGTGAGCTTCTGGATTCCCAGTTGTTAGGCAGGGATCTATGGATTCCCTCAGTGAAGATGTGGACCAGTGGCGCTGGGAGAGGCTATTGTGCACAGCCTGTCAACCCTGCCCACCGGGCGTGGAGGGGTGGTGCCCATACACTGTCTCCCCGGGACTGAAGCCCACAACAGAAGTAGATCATGCTGTCTCTTCTCTATGTGAGTACAGCCAGGAGTCTCATGTCCCCTGCCAGCATCCGCGGAACAGCAACACACTAACTTATTTGCTTGGAAGCAGGGCAACGTCAAATCCCACACCCAGTAGGTACTTTCGTAAGAAAACATTCTTGAAATGACAGAAGAAGAAAATGAATAAAGCCATGTTGTTCCACCCAGTGCCTCTGTGTGTCCTCTTTCTTGGTGACCCCAACACCTACAACCACGCAGTGGGTTGACATCCTGGAATGCTGCTCCTGGTGGGAAGCGACTGGTGTCACTTGCTTGAGGAGACGGACCTTTTCTCCCACCATGCCTTCATCTCTCCTCTCCAAATACTTAGTTTTTTCCCCCCCACTGTATTTGTAAAAGTTATGATTGTACAACTAAACTCTTCTGTAATATCTACAGGTTGATACAAATAATTAAAAATCAAAACATCAACATGTCTAAGGACCACTGGTGCATGTAACCCCCCAAGAAGGATACATACACTGTGTCGAGAAGGATACACACACTATGTCGTAAACACTTTGATACTTGAAGGAGAATCTTCCAGGTATCAAACCCATAGATTCTCATTTTCTTTCACATTCTCTCTGCTTTTCCTGGCTCGCAGTTGGTTACCACCGCTCTGAAGAGCCGATGCCATCTCCTTTACTCCCATCTCTTTTTCACTTTCCTGGCCCCTGCCTCATACCAGTCAAATCCGAATACCCGGGGGCGGACACAAGGCATGAGTGTCGGCCTCTTGCACTCCCGGTATGATATGCTTCCTGGACTCCCACACTGACTTACGGAACTGAAATGATGACTTCATGTCAGAAGAAACGGGATATGGGGAAGAATTCATTACCTGGACCATTTTCAGCAGCTGCAGTAAGTAGTACTTAATAACAACAACAAAAATCACACACAAAGACCAGGAAGTGTTTTGAAAAAGTGCTTTGAGAATTTACTGTACAGTGTTTTTTAAACAATTTATTTATATATTGGCTTCTACATGCTCTTATATTTGTGTAAAACATTTATACATATTCTTTACAATTTGTACATATATTAAATGGCTGTAGCATAAACATTGTTCTATGGGATTTTTATAGAAGAAAAATCAAGTGGGGAAAATTACTTACGAAACAGTAACAAAAACCCGTGACACTGAAGAACAAGATGTTCTCATTTTCATTTGATTTCCTCATCTTATTTTTGGTTTCATTTTGTTTACGCTGGCCCAGACTTTCTATTTCCTGTCATTATTAGGTCAGCAAGACGAAAGCAGTGGGAGGGCGCGCGGTAAGGCACCTGTGAGAGACGGAAGCGCTCCTCCGCAGGAGTGAGACGGTGTCTGCCAGTGTTCAGAGCTAGAGCTGATGCTGTGCCACGCTCCTGTTTCGCTTTATGCCATGAGCTGAAGTGCTGGTGCTTGGAAATGTCTCATCTGAGGTTTTGGGTGTAGCTGGGAAGGGCACTGGCCTGTACTTTCTCTCCAGCGTCAGAGCCCCAGGGATTCTGCACACTGTTCAGGCGGCAACCTTTTTCAGTCCCTACACTTTTCCATCCAATGGGGAGGGCTGGGGTGCTAAACTCTGCCTTTTCTCTTTGCTGAAGACACCAAGTGGCCAGGAGCCCACCATCCAAACCAAGCAGTGTGCCATGCCCACGGCAGTGCTTCTCAGCACAGCCGGTGAGCAGCCCAAGAGCCTGAAGGGGCCAGAGGCTCCCAGTGTGGGGCACGCTCCCTCCCCCAGGCCCTCCTGAGCACAGGCGTCAGCACAGCCACTCACCCGTCAGGCCAAAGCCACAGAACTCTCAAAAAAGTCCCTCAGTTCTTTGAATATATTCTTTATGGCAGAGAACATGCCTTAATGGTGATTAGGAAGGCAGTGCAAAGAGAGAAAGCGCAGGTCCTCACAGAAGAGCAACACGTCAGAAATAACGCTGAGGACACAGGCGACCAGGCTGCAGAGTCCCCCTGCAGGGACATGGGACGGCCCACCTGCCATGCACCGTGAAGGCGCTAGCAGCCCTGGCCCTGCATCCCTCCTCATCAAGTGCACGCACTTGGGCTGTGGCTGTGGCAGTGAAAGGCATGCAGACTCCCTCAATGAGAGGAACCCAGAGGACTGAGGAGTTATAAAAATAGACAAACATATATAGATTTTTATTCTGGCATATTTCATATTTTTAAGAAAGTAATTAGTAATTATCTGAGGCTGGGTAAGAACTGGAAGATTGTGGGAGACTAATAAATTATGATTCTCTGTAAAATATCAGTGGGGAGAAACCCCTTTCAATGGAAAATTCTGGTAACTTTTAAGTACTTTCTAAAAATAGAGACAACTGCCACTGGTTTAAATAATGGATGTGGAAATGAACAAAAGACCATCCCTAAATAGCCTATGCATTTATGCTGGTTAATGAAATAAATGCATTTTTTTGCAACTCTGTTTCTTTTTGGTTTTGTTGCCTTTTTTTCTGAATAATAGGGGAAAACAGTTTTGAATTGCATTGCCCCAAGTCAGGAGGAAGCGCTCGGCGTTCTCTGCAAGCCGCGCTGGGTCCTACATCACCGGGAAGCGGCTGAGGGCCTGCCTCAGCTTTTCTGCAATCTGACAAGAAAGCAAAACAAAACCACACTGAGACAGCACTCTGGTTATGGCCTCGCAGGTTCTACTACTCACAACTCTTAACAAGTTCAACATCACACACGTTCCAATTCTTTAACTGGTCTTTTTGGTACCAGCCCCGCCCTGCATTGCTGCTGGAGAGACCGTAATCCTGAATGGCGCTGGCGGTGCTGGGGCCCAAGCTGGCCCTGGAGGTCCCTTCCCGCCAGGAGGCATCTGTGCATGCTCCCACCTCTGCCCTAGTGGCGCTTCCAGACCACCTGCTTTTCCTCAGATGAGCCGGGAGCACACGCCTTCATGCTTGCCTACAGCCCCCTCCTTTCTTGGAGGAGCATAAGCTTCCAGACTCCCCTGAAGGTTGTGTTGCCCTGGCCACACCTGCTCTGTCACTGCAAAGTGTGCAAACAGCACGAGCCTGCCTGTGACGCTAACCAGGTTATGTGCCGGGCCTCCTGCTCCTGGAGGGCATGGCTGTCTCATCCATCCCGGGACGCTAAGCATCTGGAGTGAGGGCTTGGTATATAAGAAATGCTCAACACATGTCCGCCCACGAACACATGCACCTTTTAATAACTTAAGGGTTACTTTGCCATAAACATTAGATCTAAAACCTGGCAATGTTCTACCGGCCACTTACGTTTATACAAAGACAGTGATGAAATACATGGTTTTCAATTCTGAATGACAATGTCATAAATAACGATACTATATTTGGATTTGAAAATCAATAAATCAACATTTTCAAAATTCTGAGAGTTGCCCTTGCATTATTTTCTCACACAAATACACTCTGCTCTATTCTAATACACAATGAAAGACACACAACGGCACCAACGGATGGGAAAGTGTGCATTCAAAGAGCACCAGCCCCATTCCTGTAAGGGAGGACAGGGCTTAGGTGACTCTCCCATAAGTTAGTCACCCAAACCAACTGTCCAAGACACAATTCACAAATACGCATTAGGAACATCAAGCACAGCTCCCCTGAAGAACTGACTGTTGGAGATAGGGGTTTTCAGCAGCATCCAGCTCGCAGAGGCCACAGCACGGCTGTGAGTAGCATGCTGGCTCACCACTCCCCTTGAACGTGGCTTAGATCTCATGGCCAGAGGAGAGCTGGGTAGGCAGCTAGCAGCCAGCAGAGGCTGGATTTTCCATTACAGACCTTACCTGCAGGTGCCTTACTGGATCTCTGTTTTCTATATACTCTGGTAAATAACAAAATTACTAGGCAGAGGTAAGAAAATGTAAGTTTTCATTATTGTTTTGTGAATAGAACCATTCCTGGTCTTGCTTTTTTGTTTTCTCCCTGCGATTTCCATGGTGCACTGTGAAAACCTCATTCACAAAAAGCAAAGGCTGCCTTTGGTTTCCTGTGTGGTGCCAGGCTCCTGTTCCAGCTGCTGCCGGAGCCCCAGGGACAGCTGGGTGACCTCATCTCATTCAGCACCGTTCCTGGTGCACAGAGAGCCTATGACAGAGGGGAAGGGGCCGCACAATAAGGGACTTCTTGGGGCCTCGCGACTAGCATCCAAGATCCCTTCTTCAGGAGAAAACCTTTTTAAGCCAGTGTTATCCACAAAGCAAAGGGTGGTTGGAATTAGGAGATTAAAAAACAAATCCTGTCCAAAATTCAGGCTCCTTTGGTTTATTATTTAGGATTAAAGACTATAAACAGATTAACTTTACATGGTCAAAGTGGTTTACCAGGAACCCTCTCCTGGAGCACATGCAAAAGGCACACGGATGCCCACTCACCGTTTCGTAAAACTGCACTTGCTGCTCCAGGTACAGGCGGATGACGCTGTTGTAATCATAGATCCGGTTACTGTGAAAGTGATTCATCTCAGCTACAACCAAAACCAAAACATCGATCAGTTTTCCCTCCAAGTTTTCCAATGACAACACCTGGATTCTCTGCTCGGTTATAGTTAATCATCGAGCTGACCTAATCTGGCTGCTGCAGCACAGTGCCAGTTCTTGGCAAATCACTTTATAAAGAGGCTAGAAAAACACCTTGAGCTGGGCGCAGTGGCTCACATCTGTAATCTCAGCACTTTGAGAGCCAAGGTGAATGGATCACCTGAGGTCAGTAGTTCGAGACCAGCTTGGCCAACATGGCAAAACCCCATCTCTACTAAAAACACAAAAATTAGCTGGGTGTGGTGGCAGGCACTTGTAATTTCAGCTACTTGGGAGGCCGAGGCAGGAGAATCGCTTAAACCTGGGAGATGGAGGCTGCAGTGAGCCAGGATGGTGCCACTGCACTGCAGCCCGGGTGACAGAGTGAGACTCTCAAACAAAGCGAAACAAAGTCTTGAACAGTTAATGACAAATGCTACTTTCCAGTGAATGAATGACTTTCACTGACTTGCATATTAAATACTATAAAATGCAATACAGATAAATCACCCAACTGTGGACTCTCACTCTAACAGAATCCATCCAATAGAAAACACCACTGTCATATTTGCTACAGATGACTGCGGGTCAAAGCCTCCAGTGAGTCTGCGCTGGACCTAGCAAGGCACCTGGGGGCCTTGCCCCACCCCCTCCTGTGCAGCAACTGCTTCAGCAGGTGTCTGGTGAAAGGCTGGGCAGCGCGTGGGACAGCGGGCAGCCCTTCTTCAGTATGGGGACCTTTGTGGCCCCTGAGCACCAGCTGTCAGAACTCAACCTCTCACTGGGCAGGAGGATTGGATGCTGAAGGATATAACCGTCTTATCTTTGCTGAACACATGAATTCCTTATTTGTCTGTTCCCCTCTGCCCAAAACTGGAGGAGTCTTTGTCATCAGAGGGCCTCATCACCTCCCTCGGACGCCTCCCATGCCATCTTCTCCCAAACACTCCAGGCCTAGAAAGTCAGCATCTGGACAGATTCCCACGACATGCAAACTGCTCACCTTTTACATTCAGTTATTTGAAGTTGTACAAAGCTTCGTATTTATCAATTCGATAACCTCAAACACAAGTTCAAAACCAAATTCCCCATTTCAAACCCTTCAAAACCCAAAACTTCAATCAGGTTTCCTTGTTTTTGCTGCCATGGCCTTGGCTCTGGACACTCCCTCGTCCTTCTCTTTCTCCCATGAATGCCCCAGTCTTGAAAGCTGTTCCTTGAAGAGCCTGCGAATGTGCTTCATTCTCTTCTCCCCAGGACCACATCTGTAGGTCCTCAAAGCTCAGGCTACACTAGCGATGGTCTTCTGGCCAGGCTCCGGGACAGTGTCTGCACCTCCAATCCCCCTCCACACCTATCAAATCCTTCTCCCTTGAGGATTGATTTTTTTCTCTCATTTAAAAACCTTTTAATGGCTTCTTAACACCCACATCAAGTCTAGAGCTTTCAAGTTCTTTCACAATCCAAATTTCATTCCCAATAACCTCTAAGTATGTTTTACTCTTTCACACCCATGACACAATCTAGCACCACAATTTTGTGGCTTTTGTTCCCACCAGAACACCCTCTCCATTCTCCTCTGCCCACGTCAGTGCCATCCACCCGTCCACCAACAGGAAAAATCTATTTGCTGCTCTCATCTGCTCAAAAACACTCAAACCTATACACATTAATGTCTTTTTTTTAAAAAAAAAAAACAACACAAAAAACCTGCCTAAAATGACACATCCAAACCCCTTCACATTACACGATCCCAAGGCATGCAGGTGACAGACTGCTAAAAGCTGAGCACTGGCATTTAATAGAGCATGATGACATCACAGATTACAAAAGGAATCTTCCATGTGTCTGAGAAATAATAAAATGTGCAGTTTTAATCAAGCTGTCATCCATAGCTACATAAGGTAGACAGGTGAAAATCTGAATAAATATCACAGATTTTCATCAACACCAGGATCCGGCAAACAAGGAGCTTCTTTAACTACTGCTCACATTTGGATTTCTCTCTAGCAAGGGAAGCTTTGCTGGGGGAGATGATCTCCACCAGCACCTCATAAGGACCCTTTGATCTCACCTTGCAGCGCGTAGGACATGGTGCTGACTCTCTTCACCATGTTCTGTTTGTCTTGTGGGGTGATTTTACTTGTTGCAACTAGTTTGTCACTTTCTTTCACTTTTTCTATTGCTCCCTGAGAAATATAAAATGCAACAGTATTAATAAAGCTAAAATGATGAGTCATTAGTTTAAAATATAACAATGCTAATATAGTCTATAACTGATTTACTACTGAACAGGAAATATTTCCACAAAATAAGAAGAAAGGAAAGCATCTGAATTTAACTTCCTTCAAGTCCCTTGGAAGCAAAACGATTGCTATTCTTGAAAAATGTAACTAAGCTAAAATGAAAAGTTTTAAGCTACAACAAAAGAGAAGAGCAAACAGCACACCATCTCTGTAATATTGAGAAGCCGGTGCCATCTGAAGAGTAGCACATCATGGCAATCAGGCATTAGCAAGTTTCGAAAGTCATCTGGCTAGGTACAGGGTAGTGTGTGCACGCAGGCAGTCTCCATCTCTTCTTTTATCCAACAGAATATTTTATGAGCTAGTGCTTAAGTGCGCTGATTGTAAGTCAGGGCTTTACTTCGATTCTTGTAAGAGGCACTGCATCAATGTGAAGACTTAGATGGAAGTGGTGGGAAACACTGCCAAACATTTCCCACTCCAATATCATCATGCTGCTCATTACTTAGGACTGTCTGGAAAGAAAAGCTCTATACTCATGCATACATTAGGTTCCAGGCCTACAACTCTGATGCTGCTGGCATACACTTCTACAACAAGCTCACTGTTCTGAGTTTCATATTAAGTTATCTGAAGTTGTACAAACCTAATTTACCTATGCAACCCCTTCATGATTATTTCAGTTATAAAACAGAATGCTAAAATGGCCACACACCACGACTGTTAAGATCACAGCCCAATCCTTGGCAGATTTTCCTAACAACTCCAAGTACACAGCAATATACTAGACTACTATGGTTGACATAAAATACTCACAACTCATGCCTGAGGTGATGTACAGATTTTTAAAAAGGGAGAGAAAACCAGAATTAATATGTGAAGACACTCCAAACCAATTTTAAAAGTCAGTTACAAAACCTGAATTATCTATTGTTTCCTTTTTAATAATAAAGCTATAAGACCTATACTGACGACTGCACACACATGCCTGCTTCGTCTGGTGGTGTATTCTTTAAGTGTCTAGATCAGGTTACCTTGTGAGTGCCAATGATGTCAGGGAAGCAGCCAAGAAAACCTTTATACTCGTGATTACATTCCATCAGGAAATGGAGATCTTTCTTTGGCTATAACAAGATACAAGCTGGTTGTTACTGGCAGAGAAATTCAGAAAATCCAGGAAAAGGTAACTATTATATCCAAAGACTACAAATCCTGCATGTGCTACACTAAACTGCTGAGTGTGAAGCATTCACGTTACTTTTTCTAAAAGGAAATAACTCCAAAGACTGCCATACTTTGAATCACATGTTGTAAAGAAAACGACAAAACATATAATTTTTAAGTTGGTTTGTAAAAGTATTTTGACATGGCCCAAAATATACCACCACAAAGGAAAAAAATTCATCTAATACTGTATGTTTATATACAAGCAAATGAGCTGCTGAAGTTGAACTTCTAAATATGAGCAGAGAATATAAAAATATTATTAAAACACCTAGTAATCATTTTAACTTCTTCCATTTTTTTCTGAATTATGATTTTAGTAGCTATGTTACTCACATTTCTACAATGAATGCTTTTTTAGAAGTATCAGAAAGTAGCCCATAACCACATTAGTGGGTGTACACATCTGTGTATCCACAAACATAGTTTTAAGTCATCTGAAAAAAACGTTTTTTAAGTAAGGGATTGGAAAATTAACTTTGATTCTTCTTAAGGGAACTTATCTGTTATTTAAAAACAAAAACAAAACCCTGAAATTGGGCTACTAAAGACTCCAACAAAAGCTTGTGGCTAGGATAAGGACCTGCCCTGTGCTGGGGACTGTAGCCAGTGCTTTTTATTTATGAGCTCTTAAATCTTGAGAACCATACAGGGTAGACACTACCACTGCAGATGAACAGATGAGGAAACCATGGCTCAGAGAGGCTAAGCAACGGTCCATACAGACCGGAGCCAGCGTTCTTTCCTGTTTATTAGAATCCACTGAAGGCTAAGAACGGATCGCAGGAATCAATACTGGATTGCGTTCATTTATATTTCTTTTTCTTTTGAGATAGAGTCACACTCTGTCACCCAGGCTGGAGTGCAGTGGTATGATCACAGCTCACTGTAGCCTTGACTTCCCGGGCCCAAGTGATCTTCCTACCTCAGCCTCCCGAGTAGCTGGAATCACAGGTGTACACCACTACACCTGGCTAATTTTTAGGGGTTCCCTGTGCTGCCCAGGCTGGTCTCAAACTCCTGGACTCAAGTGATTCACCTGCCTTGGCCTCCCAAACTGCCAGATTACAGGTGTGAGCCACTGTGCCTGGCCTATTTAGATTTCTTGATGACAAATTTATCCATCCACTTTGGCTTAACCTAACAAACCATTATTAAATACAATTAACAAAGATACACAGAAACAGAAAAGAAAAGCGTACTTATTTGGGAAGTTTGTCATAAGATAGATTTTAAATTAAATATGTGGACTAGACAGCATAAAATCTTAATTGGGCCGGGCACGGTGGCTCACACCTATAATCCTAGCACTTTGGGAGGCCGAGGCGGGTGGATCATGAGGTCAAGAGATCAAGACCATCCTGGTCAACAGGGTGAAACCCCGTCTCTACAAAAAATACAAAAATTAGCCAGGCATGCTGGTGTGCGCCTGTAGTCCCAGCTACTTGGGAGGCTGAGGCAGGAGAATTGCTTGAACCCAGAAGGCGGAGGTTGCGGTAAGCCGAGATCGTGCCATTGCACTCCAGCCTGGGTAACAACAGCAAAATTCCATCTCAGAAAAAATAAATAAATAAAATCTTAATTGGAATTGTGATTATGTTAGTACCTGTTCTGCCACAAGACTGGCAATTTCTTCATAAGTCTTTCCTGCTTCTGTTATTGCATCATTGAGATCTGTTTCACCTGAAAATGATCAGTTTTATCAGTGGTTACAAGTTACATACATTTTCTTTTCACTTATTAAAAATTTTATTATAGATTTTATTGGTACATCTTATTGTTGAAACTTTCAAACATTTTCAAAACTAGTGGGAATAGAATGAATGCCCATCACCCGCCATCCGCCTTCCCCACTGGCAGTGCTCGCCAGCCTTTGTTTATCCACACCCGACACCCTCTCACTGGACAGCAGCATCTCATCCATAAATCTTGCCTAACAGTTGAGGACTCTAAAACATAAGGCAGTACCATTATGACACCAAAGACGAGACCATCACTCTGCTACAATGAGGCCTCTCAGGGCAAGCTGGCTGCCTAAATCAGGCTGTAAAGGTCCACAATGCACAGAACTGATGTGTTTCTTACATCTGTGGATTCTTCTCCCTCACCCCCTTTTTTCCCTTCACATTTCTTTTTGTGGGGTGCTGTACTCAACACTAAGTGCAGCAGCCTAGCCAATTTACACACCAATAACCAGGGTGTTTCACTGAGGAGGGAGTTATCATCCACAGGATCCTAAGCAGCCGACAGGTCTGGAAAAGGCTCTAAAGGCTAACTGAATGAATGAATGAAGACACACCTTGATAGCCGCTAGAACTGAACACCGTGGCTAAACTCTGCAAGGCCTTTCCTATCTTCTGATATTCCTTCGGTAATGCTGAAAGAGAAAACGCAATAAACCATTAGTCTTCTGAGCAAACCGAAATGGGATTAAACTGTTTCCTAAAAGTGATTATGTTATAGAAACGCCTGAAGTGATTCAAAATAGTCTATATCCCTTCATAAAATATTGTTGCAAAAGTGATTGTTTTTCAATGAATGATTTTTTAGATTATTTTTAATTGACTGTTCAATTAATGGTAGATGCCATTATTACTGACAATCACTTCTGCATTCTCACTCACCGAATGAGTCTAAGTAAAATGGAAGCAACTTTAGGTGGTTTCTAGCTTACAAAGTACTTTCAGCAAGACTGTGCTTGATCATCACGATAGCCCCTCTACCAGATGCAGAGATACCACCCTCATGCTGAGGCTTAGGAAAACAAGGCTCACAGGCTCACATAACTGACTTGCCCAAGGTCACATGGCTAATAAATGGTGGATGTGGACTTGCGAGTCCAAATATGTAGCCTTTCCCACTCTGTTACGGATGCATAAATGGCCATTTGCAAACCATAACCACCAAAGACTGAAACCAACAAGGTGTGGAGAAAAATACAACAGTCAGACTTTGCAAGACAAGAGAAGAGGGGTCTGAGTTTTCTCATCTGTATTGAGATGATTTCATGAAATGACCTCTAAGGTTTCTTTTTAAGGTGCTAAAATTCTTGCATCACTTTGGAGAATTCCCAAGACTCTGCACCGTAGGCTACTTTCTTTGCATTTGTACAGAGTCCCCTTAAATGTAGCCTTTCAAAAGAAACCATTATTTGCATTTAAAGACTCACTGCAGTTTTAAAGGAGAAAAATTAAACTTTTAATGTTTCTTTAAAAAATATTTTGTCCAGAGACATTAGAGGTAAGCTCTATAAGCTTCAGTTACAGGAAACATGAATCCAAATTACACGAGCTTAATAAAATTCTATCAGTTAATTTAATAAATTGTCCACCCTGTAGTACCCCTGTTTTTGCCTCTCTACCTGAGGTTGAAGGCACCTGGCATGTGGTTCACCATGCAGAGTGTGTGCTACCGTTTTCATTCTCCATATTAGGAATTTTAAAGAACGATTTTGAGAAAGAGAAGGAGATAGGCCTGAGTCAAATCCTAAACAAAGTGCCTCAATCCCTTTCCCCATCCCACAAAAGAGCAGCCTGAAGCCAGGATTTTCTTTCTACATTTAGCCTTGTGGATTACGTAGGACACAGAGTTGATCAGATATTAGACATAAGGGATTTAATTCTTTAAAAGATACCATAATAACACATTTTTGTGATATCCTTAAAAAATGGGATTGTAAAATTTGCACTCAGGAAAAATGGCTTTCAAAGAACATATGGATTTAAATGATGTGTTATGATGGTCTTGTAAGAGTTTACAGTCAAAATTAATTCACTGCCTTTAAAACAAAATTCATTCATTCTTACTTTAGAGGATCGGTCCCCAACCTTTCTGGCAACAGGAACTGGTTTCAAGGAAGACACTTTTCCACAGGCAGACAGCAGGCTGCGGGGATGGTTTGGGGATGAAACTGTTCCACCTCAGATCATCAGGCATTAGATTCTCATAAGGGCTCACAACCTAGATCCCTTGCATGTGCAGCCCATAATAGGGTATGAACTCCTCTGAGAATCTAATGCCACCGCTGATCTTACAGGAGGCAGAGCTCAGGCGGTAATGCCTATAAATAGAGATGAAGCTTCACTTGCCTCCTGCTGTGCGGTCATGGTCCATGTACCACCAGTCCATGGCCTGGGGACTGGGGACCTCTGGCTTTAGAGAACAATGTCAACTTTGCTTTTTGTTCATGAGTCATCCTCTGTGACCTGTCTTGTCACAGGTTTTGTTTTCTAGATGCTGTATTTGTATACATTATTTTCTCAGGGCTAATTCTATGTATTTAGGATACAGCATCATGTTTCCTTGCTATGGGAAAGAAACAACTGTTATTCCTGGTGCCTGCACCTCAAACGCAAACAGCTGGTATGCTACAAGTTTTGTTGGAATAAGATAATATGTGGATGGCAAAGTGCTACTGGTACTGGTATTGCTGTGGGTAGAGGAAGAGGTAGAGTAGCACTGGCCAATGGTTGAGGTAAGGCAGGGCCTGGAAAATTTCCTCTGCAAGTGCCAGATAGTAAACGTTTTAGGCTTTATAGAGCCACAAGTTTCTGTGGAAACGACTCAACTCTACCATTATGACACAAATGTAGCCAAAGACAATATATAAATAAATGGGTATGGGTGTGTTCCAATAAAACTTTATTTACAAAATAGGTGGCAAGCCATATTTGGCCCTCCGGCTATAGTTTGCTGACTCCTGATGTAAGGCTTTGGATTTTCAGATCTGGATTGAATGAACAGTAATATTGCCATTGTCTTTCCTGTGCTATCTTACTAATTCATCTATGAGTCATTCCACATTTAGTTTCCTGCTCTTCAAAATTATTATTGGATTTCAAATTCTGACTGTTTTCCTTTAGTATAAAAACCCCACCTTAAAAAAAATTAACAGATCTCTTTTCCTCTGCTGAGCATCAAAGGGCTGATATATATTACTCATAATTCAAAGTATAAACCATTAAAATTTTTTTAAATGGAATATAACTAATATTTCTGTACAGTGTTAGGAGGTGAAGGCCAGAAAATTCTTAGTGATAGATTAGAAGTCCCTTTTCTCCAGAGGTTGAGACATAGCAACAAGGGCGGACCAGAAAGAAAGGAGAGGAAAGTTCTAGTACTCTATGGTAGTCAAAGACATCTGGGCATTCAACAGCAGTGGGATCCCAGCATTTCAGGGCCTGACAAGTCATTCTGCAGCCTCTGAGCCTGAGGGGGTAACAGGGCAGCAGCCCGCAGCATTAGCCCCACAGCTGGATACATGACTGTTTTTCTATCCTGGGCCACATGTGTGGCGACAAAGCTGCATAGTTCTGGGGAATACAGGAAAAACGTTCAGCAGAACCACAGCCTACACACAAAGGAAAAAGAGGGAGGCAGGAAGCTCTCAGGGACAGGGCAGCGTGGGCAGAAAGCCGGGACTCATAGTGACACCCTCCCCTCGGCAGTGCTTCTGCTCTGACATATTTTCTATAACTAACTATACTTTTTTTTTTTCCTTAAAAATTATGGCTTTAGTCAAATATACAACATCTTACCAAATGAAGATTAAAAATAAAATGAGACTAAATATAGTGACAAGCACTCTCAAAACAGGCAAAAATGATAAATTTTCCGAAGATTATAAAGCCCTAAATTACTGGACCTAATTAAGTGAACATGGTGTTCCTTATGAGACTTCTTAACCTGGCTTTGTTAGTCAATTTTTTTGTGGTTTAACTTGGGTGAAGTGAGGTTAAGCAGTCACAGGAGGGACGTTACTGCCATCCACCAAACACATTTCTGTTCAAGGCATCAGGTTCCCTCTATGATCAGGGACACAAAACTGAGCCTGCATCACCACCTACAGCCCAATCGGCTGTGAGGAGTGGACTTACGCCCTGTGCACCGTTTCCAGTGCTCCTGCCCCACGGTCAGCAGCTCCTTCACACCATCATCCATGGCCTTGGTGAACTTCCCGACGGCCTCGCACTTCTGCTCTCTGTGGGCAAAGGCAGCCATCAGTCACATGAGCAGGAGAAACAGCACTGCTGTCGATCAGGGACACGTAGGCCAAACATAACCACAGATACTTGTTCTCCTGCATGGTAACAACTCCCCTGGCACTAAGTTAGCCTTAAATACAGGCTTGATACAGACGTTTGAAGAACTACTTAAAAAGCAGTTATTATTTTAACTTTGCTTCCTTTCTTCCTCTTCAATTCTTTGTGAATTTTAATTATAATTATTCTAAAGTAAATAATAACTTTTTGAATATCTCATTTAGTAAAATTCTAATCACTGGAGGGACCATCAAATCTATAAAAGAATAACGGGGTTGCTAAATGCCAGCTGGTCACTCATTCCAAGTACTCCACGAAATAGACAAAAACCTGGATGCATAATCAGCTAAGTGACCCTAAAGGTACCAGTTCTTTTCTTTTTTGAGACGGAGTTTCGCTCTTGTTACCCAGGCTGGAGTGCAACGGCGCGATCTTGGCTCACCGCAACCTCCGCCTCCTGGGTTCAGGCAATTCTCCTGCCTCAGCCTCCCGAGTAGCTGGGATTACAGGCACACGCCACCATGCCCAGCTAATTTTTGTATTTTTAGTAGAGACGGGGTTTCACCTTGTTGACCAGGATGGTCTCGATCTCTTGACCTCGTGATCCACCCGTCTCGGCCTCCCAAAGTGCTGGGATTACAGGTGTGAGCCACCGCACCCGGCCCAAGGTACCAGTTCTTAACAAGGATGTCAAAGCGTATTTACCAACCTGAAAAGATCACAATACTGTTAGATGAGAAAAGCAGATTATAAAACAAAATGGAGAGTGTGAGGTCATTTCTGTTTAAACAATCTTTCCTGTAATTGTGTACAGAGGAGGACTTGGGAGACTATACACTAACATATTAACACTGATTTTCTCTCTGGGTGGTTGAAGGGTTATGTTTGTGTGTGTGTGTGTGTGTGTGTGTGTGTGTGTGTGTGTGTGTGTTTCTTGTCTATACTTTTGGTAACACATACGCAATAATTTTATGATAAAAAAGCTTAAAATTAAAAAACACAAATTTCTTATAAGTCCTTAATAGAAAAGGAACTACTCCAAAGTTTCAACTGAGCCTGTATTTAAAAACTAAATAATAAAATCAATAGATTAACAAAAAACCACATAGAAAAAGCAGGTTAGAGACTGCCTCCTCAAGGCCATGTTCAAAGAGATTTGCTGTCTGAATACTGTGTGGGTTTTAGGCGGCTCCGTGCCGCCTGGTTTCATCACACTATTGGAAACACTACTCAACAAGTCACTGGCTTCAAGGTAAAAGAAGTTTAATCTGATGTTATGGTTAGAAAGACAGTACTTCCATGTACAAGCGCTATTTCCCTTGTCATTGGACTACAAAGCCCACTTATTTCATAAAACTCTAGTCTGACAATTTGAGTTTCAGCTGCGGCTATCCTGGCTGAGGCCTGAAAGCCAAAGGAGGTTGTGGATTGAGGAAAAGGAAAACCTGGCAGCGCCTCTCACATTTCTACTAGGTCCAAGTCAGGTGCCTCTGGCTCCATGGTGGAAAATATCATGACTCCCGCCAGCTCATCTCTCTCGGCCTTCCTCTTTCCAGTTTTCCATTCCTGTAAATGAGAATGTGGTAAGGTTCAAGTGGAGAGCACAGTCAAACTGGTCTCCAAAATTCCCAAACAGGACCAGTTCAGTGATCACCTTTGTCTTCCTAATTTCAGGAAGCAGCTCCCCTCTATCTCCCTCTGCACCATGGGCTAAATGCCTTTATACCCCAAATGTCATCTTAGGGCACAAACAGTGTCATGCCACAGAACGGCCCTCATGGGACCAAGTCTTTTCGAACCGATTCAGCCATGTTCCCTTTCCAATGGCTACCTACATAAATACGGCAAATAGAAACACCCTATACTTTTTTTTTCCTGAGAAAGGGTCTCACTATGCCCGCTAGGCTGGAGTGCAGTGGTGTGATCTCAGCTTACTGTACCCTTGAACTCCCAGGTTCAAGTGATCCTCCCACCTCAGCCCCCCAAGTAGCTGGGCCTTTAGGCATGCGCCCCCATGCCTGGCTAATTTTTGTATTTTTTGTAGAGATGGGGTTTTGCCATGTTAGCCAGGCTGGTCAGGAACTCCTGGGCTGAAGCAATCTGTTCACCTCGGCCTCCCAAAGTGCTGGGATTCCAGGCATAAGCCACTGTGCTCAGCCCACCCGATGCATTCTGACCAAGTACCTCAAATGTTTAGGTTAACTGTTTTCTGAAAAGGTAAATGCTTTTCTAAAATATAAGCTAGAAACCAGTATTAGGGCCTATTTTTTTTTTTTAACATATTAAGGTATACACACATACAGGGTACCCAAAGCAAAAACATCCAGCACAATGAATTGTCACAAAATGAAGACTTGCCTAACAACCACCTAGTCCAAGATGGAGCAAAGAGCTCCCTTCCAAAAGTCCCCCTCATTGTCCTTTCCCTAAGTACTGCTACCTCCTCCCCGCCCCCACACAAAGGTAACTAATAATCCTTCTCTTATGGGTTTCATTTCCTTGCTTTTCTGCTATGGTTTGAATGTGTTCCCTCCAAAATTCATGTTTTGACACTTCATAGCCAATGTGATAATATGAAGAGGTGTGGCCTTTAAGAAGTGATAAGGTCACGAGGGCTGCTCCCCTCGGGAATGAGATTCGTGTCCTCATAAAAAGGACTGATGGAGGAAATTTGTCCCTTTTTGCTCTTCCACTTTCCACTATGTAGGAACTCAGCATTTCTCCCATTTGGAGGATGCAGCCCTCACCAACCACCAAATGCTGGTGCCTTGATCTTTGACTTCCAGCCTCTGTAAATGGGAGAAATAAATTTGTTCTTGATAAATTAGCCAGTCTCAAGTGTTTTGTATTTTGTTACAGCTGCACAAACAGACTAAGATACTTTGTTTAGAGTTTTAGCAGCTAAGCATGCATCCTGACCTGTCTTGCTAGTTTTTCAAGCTAGCAACTAACCCTATAAACACATTCTTTGGCGTCTGGCTTGTTTTGCTCAATCTTGGTTAGGACCTACAGTCACGTTCTTGTGTAGAACTATAGTTCATTCATTTCACTGCTGTGTAATATTCTACCGTATGAGGAATCCCCAATTTATTTATCCATTCTACTACTGGTGGCCACCCTTATCAAGTTATGAATCCAGCTGTTATGTATATGTCTCCTGGTGTCTGTGTGCATGCATTTCTATTCAGCATATATCCAGGAGTGGAAATGCTGGGTCATAGGAGAGGGTTCAACCTTAGTAAATGACAAACTTTTCCAAACTGGTCTTACCAATTTCCCCCAAGAGGTTACGAGACCCAGCAGCATCTCACCACACCAAGATGACAATTGGTCTGATCAGTTTTAGCCATTCTGGCAAGTGTGTAGTGATATCTTGCTGTGGGTTTTAATTTGTATTTCTTGATTGCTAATGAGATTAAGTACTTTTCTATATCTCTGTTGTTGATCAGACACCTTATTTTATGAAGTACATTATCAAATCTTCTATTTTCTACTGGGCCTATCAATGTTTTCATATATTCTAAAATCTAGCCCTTCATTCCTTATATATGTTACAAGTATCTTCTACTCAGTGGCATGTTTTTTGCTTGTAATGGATCTGCTGAAAAAAAAAGTTCTAATGTAATCTATCCACGTCTTTCCTGCATGGATATTTCAGAAATACTTCCCTGCTCTCTAGGATACGAGGATGTTCTCCTACGTTATCTTCTGTAAGTATTACCGTGCTGCTTTTCACATTTAGATCTGCGAACCACATGGAAGTCATTTTCAAAAAAACTTTATACAATGAAAACTTTCAAACATATACAAAAGAGAAAAGTATAATAAACCCCTACAGGTTCAGCTTTGATAATTATTAACACTTTGCCAATCTTTTTTAATATCAATAGTTTAGTATAAGAGATATGGAAGTCAGTCACCTGAGGAAGCCTTTTGGCTGTGATGGCGTGGGCAGCTGCATGTGATGCCATTTCAGTAGGGACTTACTTTGGCTTACACACTTTCCAAGAATGGCACCACCTCTAAATAAGAAAAGACCCTTATCTAGAACTACTTTGGAGCCTCCATATTCTGGGAGAACTTTAACTTTCAAGCTAACTGGTTAAGTCTTTCCACCCTTTACCTTTAAGATCTGATCCAAGAGTTACTACTGTTGCTTGCAATACTTTTGGGATTTTTCTGGAAGTATAATGACTCCTTTGGCTATAGTTTAGGGTGCTTTCTTTTCAATCAATACTCAAAGAGTGAAAGAAACTTTCTAAACGCCTGTCTGCTGTGACTTCACAGGAGATCCACAGCTCAACCTTCAGCAGCACATGTGGCCATGGGAACAGCCGCCAAGGCACCACTGTTCCCTGGGAGCTGCCAATCTTGTTTCATAGGTACTCTCCTCCATTCTACCTCTGGGATGTTTTTTCTTACTTTAAAGCTAATTTCAAATATAATACACACACATACACACACACACAAAATATATATATATATATAGATGTATATATGCATACACACACATATATGTATTTGAGACAGAGTTTTGCTCTGTTCCCCAGGCTGGAGTGCAGTGGCACGATCTTGGCTCACTGCAACCTTCATCCCCAGGTTCAAACGATTCTCCTGCTTCAGCCTCCCAAGTAACTAGGATTACAGGTGTGTGCCACCACACCTGGCGAATTTTTGTATTTTTAGTAGAGACAGGTTTTTGACATATTGGCCAAGCTGGTCTCGAACTCCTAACCTTGAGTGACCTATCACAACTCACCTGGGTCATGTTTTAAAACATAATAATATCAGTAACAGCCCTAATAAAATCAACTGCAGACTGTAGTGAGGTAGTGAGCACATTTCATTTCCCTGCGGTGTGCCATCCAACTGACCCAGCACCACTTACTGGAAAGACTATCCTTTCCCTACTGTGCTCAGTGCCATCTTTGTCACAGATCAAGTGTCTACTCTGTTCTGCTCCACTGGTTGGTTTGTCTAGCCTTATGCCAATACCATGCTTTTAAAGTTTGTAGCTTCACGATGAGTTCTGACACGCAGTGAAGTTCTCCTCCTACTTCATCCTGGCTATTCTTAGCATTCTGATTTTCTACATGTGACATCTTTATTGTTTTCAGTCCACGAGACACAGCATTAGAAAATTTATTTACGTCTTCTATGATTTTTCTCAACAGTGTTTCACAGTTTTCTAGGTAGCTCTTTTGTGCCTTTCCTGGTGATATTACTGTAGTATCAAACAACATCAAACTAGATTTTCCCTAGAATTTCAGTTTCTGTTTTTGCTGATAAATATGCGATGTCTTGTATCCAGCTAGCTTACCAACCACTTGTTTCTAATAATTTCTCTGTAGATTCTTTGGGGCTTTGTGTCCAGCATTTACTTACCTCAGCTGCTACTTACCACAGAATCAGAGTTTCTATGTAGTTCTACACTGCCACTTAGCAAGTAAGGAAATTCTGGCCCAAAGAGATCAAACACCTTCACTAAGACCACAAAGGCAGTTAAAAGTGGAGCTGAGACTAGAACTCAAGTGCCCTGATTCCAAGTTCTTTCTTTTTCTCTCATACCATTTGTATGACAAGTTGATCACTCTTTGAAGGTGGCAGGCATTTAAAACAAAACAACACAACCAATGTCTAGGATTTATTATTCTTAAACCCCACCATGCATAAAACATGACCTTCAGAAGTGCTTTCTAAATCAAATCCTTGAAAAATCTATCAAATAAGCCCTGGTTAAGGCACTGTGGGATCCAGGAAGGCAACAAACTTGGAGGCAGTTCCCTATAGTCTCTGTAACTACAAAGTAACAAAACACTTACTGAATTCAAATAACTTAGTTTTACTACTAAATAGCTACATGACATACATAGGGTGACTCAGTATCCTATCTCACCATGGAGATATACAAATTCGTAAGACATGGTGAAAGACCTGAGATACATACGAATTCACAAAGACAAGGAGACACAGCCCTAATATTTAAAAGTTACTGTGTGCTCACTTCAACAAGGGAAAAATACTACAAAGAAGTTTAGCAAGTAAACCTCTCAAAATTCCAAGATGGTATATGATATTCCGTTATTTGATTAAAGACAAAAACAGCTTCAGAATTTATTTCCCAGGCTGATAATGTATTTAGCATCTGCTGTGGCTTGCGAGCTTTAGCGTCTGCTGTGGCTTCTGAGCCAATTCCTGCTTTTATTCTTTAGGGCATTTCTAAGATATGCAGTATTTTTTGAGAGAAAGTGTGGAAGAAACATCTTTAGAGAATAAAATGATATAATAAGGAGTACAGTAAATGCTTACTGAGAAAGAAAACTATTTCCAATTATGAAATGTCAGGCAGCCAACCTCTTGATTTTAATGAAGAACAGATGACCACCGGCAGACTAACTGGCCACAGGGGCGGGCAGAGAGAGGCCAGCATTGACTTTGGACTCACCATTACAGGGATGAACATGGCCCAGATCTGGGAAGAACAGCTCATCTCTGCCTCTCCCTTTCCTGTCATCATGCTTTACGTCGTAAGGGCAGCGTGTGGGAAAATCGTTCACTCCTTCCCTCATTTCATGCTGATAATACCTTCAGAGTTAGGGGCCTACCCTCCTATTTTTATAAACATGTAGGGAAAAACTGCTGACCCTCTGACATCCTTCACCCTGCCCCTGCCCCTCCTGAGCTAACCCATTCCCAGTGCAGGGGAAGCCCTTCTGGCAGGCAGCTCTTCACACAACATGACAAATTTCCTATGGTGGGGATTTAGGTTTCTGTCCCCTCACTGTCAGTGGAGAAAGTGAGAAATAACTAATCAACAAATTTTAAATCCTTTCAGAAATAAATGTGGTGTGAATGTAACTCTCAATATTCTCTGATGCCACATTAATACAATGTCCTACCTTCTCATCTCGGAAATTTAGGAACTGCTGGAAAACTTCACTTTCTGAGATCACCGGATGGCGACACATCCTGGTCATCCAGGCCTGAAGTCTCTCCATGCGCATTTTGATAAATTCCTCTTCAAAGCGACCTGCAAGAGACACAACAAGAATGACATACAACTTTGTCTACAATGAATTACTGTCCACACTGTAACTGAAAAACCATTTCTATGGCTACTGGCTACTTGGTAGAAAGCTATTCAGCAAAAAGTAAACCAGGGTGATTTTTCACCAATCTAAAAAACAAGCAACACAATGAATGCTCAAAGACCTACAGGTAAGATGCAACAGACTTCAGTTTTTAAGAATGTAATTCCAATTTAACATATTCACAAACCCTTTGTGACAAGAATAATGACAGCCTCAAAGTGCTATTTTCTTAAGTACCCCTAAAGTACTAAAAAACTTAAATCTTATCTCAACATGAAAACGTGCATCTTTCCTGTAAGTGAACAGGCCAGTTTCTGTGTGGCCACATGAAGTCCTACAGGCAAGAAAGGAGTGGTAAGTGGAATTTCATGTCATTCTTACAAACTATGTGACATTTCCATATTATAAAAACGTGTCAAAATGCAATACAAATTACATATATACAAGTTTAAACTCAGCATTACAAAAAGTAACCCAAGGCTGTAGCTTTTTTCCTCCATGTATTTTAAATTACTTAAGCTGAAATAGCAAAGGAATTTTTCCACGAATGCAATAATGTAAGCTGCTATTCCAGAACTTATGACCATACTGAAACAGTTCAATGAGTGGTTCTTCCCGTCTTCAAAGCAGAAAGTCAGCTTGACAAGGCTGGCATAACAAACATCAAGTGAACATGTTTACAGACCTACGAACAAAAATTACCGTTAGTTCCAAGGCTTCTAGTGCTAGAAGTTCCAGCTACAGCCTAGAGAGATCAAATAACCCTCCCCACAAAAGCAACTCTAAAGCTGAGTAACATTGACAAAAACAACCAAATCAGTGCTCCAGAAGTCAACAAAAGGCAAACGGCCATCTAAGAAGTGTGCATGCTTGAAGAACTGAACTTCAGGCGACAACGGTGGAAATCTGTGGTGTTGGGAGGCTGCTCCTGTCTCCCCTGGAGCTGCAGCCTGTGTGCCACCCCACCTCACACGTATTCAACATGGAGGTACCATTAGGGTGGAGCGGGCTGTGAAGCTGGGCAGCTGCAGCTTCTCCAGCAGGGCAGGAGGCTCACTTGTTTGGTGTGATGAGAGATGCCCATGTTCAATGGTGGTTTCAGTGGCAGTGACAATTTCAGAGACAAATGAATGGAGAGGGCCAACAGCCCTGATAGCCAAGGTCGAACTATGCAAATCCCAGGCTGATTCTGTGTATCAACAGTGGGGACCAGAGAGGGTCCAGGCCAGGCACACAATCCTGGCCAACTCTGAGGCTATACAGACAAGTAAAGAAGACACAAAAGGGTCTGGTAGAAAGTAAAAGCCAGGGCAACATGAAAATGACTGGAGCTTTGGATGAGTTACATTGAGTTAGTTACATCAACAGAGAACAGAAGCCTTACTGGCCTGAGGTGGTTGGGCACAACCTCTGTCAATCAGTCATAGGCTTACAACCAATCCACACAAGACACAGGAGCAAAAACCCTATGAAGGCAATGTGAAAATAATAAAAATGAACAAACAAACATAACAGTAACTGAACTGCCAGGGAGACAGACTTCAGAGATGTAATGTAGGCAGGTTACTTAACCAACAAACAAAAAGCAGAAATAATAGCCTTCAGGGAGGTAAACTCAGAATTCAAAGTTGCTAAAATATATTCTCAAAAATGTCTAGTTTTCAACAAAAAATTAAGAGATATGCAAAGAAATAGCAAGACATGACCCATACTGAGAAAAAAAACAAGCAGTCGATAGACACTATCTCTGAGTATCCTCAGATGTTGAATTTAGCAGAAGAAAAGAATGTGGCACATAAAGCAGATTCTATAAATATGCTTGAAGAAATAAAGGAAGTCTAAAAAATTAAAGAAAAATATGACAGAGGATCAACACACAGAGTTTCAAGGAGAGAGAAATTACCAAAAAAGAATCACATGGAAATTTTGGAGATTAAAGTACAGTAATTAAAATTAAAAATTCACTGCAGATATGGCTCAAAAGAAGGTGTAAGATAGCAGCAGAAAAAACAAACAGTGAATTTGAAGACAGATCAACAGAATATGAAGAACAGAGAGAAAAAAAACCAAAATGTAAAATGAACACACCTTAGAATCCATCAAGCACACCAAACACTTTTAATGAGAATCCCAGAGGAAGAAGAGAGAGTGAGACAAAAAATATGTGAAGAAATAATGGCAGAAAACGCCTCAAATTTGATGGAAAATTAACGTACACTTCCAAGAAGCTCAACAAACCTCGACATAGTCTGTATTTGTAGGATACAGAGATTCACAACTAGACATGACAGTTAAACTACTGAAAGACAAAGACTAAACCTTGGAAGCAGCAAGTGAAAAACGACCGATCAGGTGTAGTGGTGTAGGCATGTGAGATAAACAGCATTAACAGTTGACCTGCTATTTGACATAATGGAGCCAGATCAGTACAACTATCCGCTAAAAATAAAGACACACCCAGATAAATAAGGAGAGAATTCACAGATAACAGACTTGCATTATAAGAAGTATTAAAGGAACTCCTTCAGGCTAAAAAGAAATTACTAAAGATGGTGACTTGAATCTGCAGAGAGAAATAAACAGCACCAGAAATATAAGGGTTAATGTAAAAGACTCTACAGATATATTTTTCTAATTTTTTTCCTTAGCATCTTTAAAAGAAACAAGACTGAAGAAAGCAGTAATTATCACACTCTATTGTTGGATACATAACATACAGATGTAATACACATGAAAATAATAGCATAAATGAGGGAAGGAAATAGAGCTATGTAGGAGAAAAGTTTCCATATTTTACTGGAATTAGTATTAATCTAAAGTGTATTATGATGTTAAAAAAGATGCATATTATATCCCTTAGGGCAACTAGTAAGAAAATAACTTAAAAAATTTAAACAATGAGAGGAATTAAAATGATATACTGTAAAGTATTTATTTAACACAAAGGAAAGGCAGTAAAGGAGGAAAAAGAAGCAAACAAGACACAGAAAATAAATAACAACATGGCAAAAGTAAATCTAACCATGTCAAAAATTTTATTAAATAAAAATGGCCTAAAAACCCAATCAAAAGCAGAGATTGTCAGACTTGATAAAAAAGATCCAATTACCTTGCCTATAAGAGAAACAGCTTAATTTCAAAGACACACATATACTAAAAGTAAATGGATCAGAAAAAATATATACCTTATAAACAGTAACCATCAGAGAAGCGGAGTGGTTATGTTAGTATTAGACAAGTACACTTTAACAGAAAATCTACGGGAGACAATGGGGGACACGTCTTGATAACAGAATCACTACACCAGGACGATATTACAAACTGTATGTCTACTTAACAAGAGAGCCTCAAAGTACACAAAACAAATGACAGAACTGAAAGGAGAGAGAGTCCACCAATAATAAAGTTCTATTTCAACACCTGATACACAATAATAGACAGAACTAGAAGGAAAACTGGCAAGGACACAGAAACCTGAATCACACTATCGACCCGGCCTAACTGGCATGAATGAAATGCTCCATCCAACTGCTACAGACACATATTCTTTTGAAGCACACATGGAATATTCTCTTGGACAAACCACATGCTAAGCCATAAGACAAGTCTCAATAGATGTAAAAGGACTAAAAATCATGCAAGGTATGTTCTTTGAACATAATAAAATAAAACTAGAGGTCAAAAGAAAAAAGTCTGAGAAATAGCCAAATATTTGGAAATTAAAAACAGAGTTTGTTCTTGTATCCCCATGCTCTGCATCCATGGATTCAACCAACCTCAGATTGGAAATACTTGAGGAAAAAAAAAAAGTTTCTGTAATGAATATGTATGGACTTTTTTCTTTGTTATTATTCTCAAAACAATACAGTATAATAATGATTTACATTGCATTTACACTGTATTAGGTATAATTAATCTAGGGATGATTTAAAATATACGGGAGGATATGCACAGGTTATATGCAAATACTATACCATTTTATATCAGGCACTTGAGCATCCTTAGATTTTGGTATCTGTGGGAGGTTCTGGAACCAATTCCCATGGATACTGAGATATAGGAATATTTCTAAATAACCCATGGATCAAATAAGAACTTATGAGAAAAATTAGAAAATGTTTTGACCTGAAGGAACATGAAAACTCAATATATCAGACTTTATGGAATGCAGCAAAAGCAGTGCTTAGAGGAAAATGTGATGCCTGTGACAGGAGAAATATCCAAAACAATAACCTAAATTTCTATGTTAAAAAACTAGAAAAAGAGGAAATCAAACTCAAATCAAGCAGATGGACAGAAATGATAAAAGAAGAGAAAACAATACAACAGAAAAGAGAAATTTCAATAAAACCAAAGAAAAAAGAGAGGTAACAATGATAACAATCAGAAATGAAGCAGGTATATATCACTATAGACCCTAATGTCTTTAAAAGTACAAAGAACTATGACGAGCAACTCTAAAACCATACCTAACAACTTATATGAAATAGATCAATTTCCTTTAAAGATCCAAGCTACCAAAGCTCACTGAAGAAGAGATAGCCTGAATAGTCCCATATCTATGAAAGAAATTAAATCATAGTTAAAGACTTCCCGCAAAGAAAACTCCAGGTTCAGATGATTTCAGTGGTCAATTCTATCAACATTTATAGAACAGAATCAATCTCTTCCAGAATATAAAAAGGAAGGGAATAATTCCAAACTCATCCTATGAGACTAGCATTGCCCTGATACTAAAACCAAAGATATTACAAGAAAACTGTAGACTAATCATCATCATGAACCAAATCCTCAACCAAATACTAGCAAATTGAATCCAGCAATATATATGAACAATCTATTGCCATCAAGGGAGGTTTATTCCAGGCATATAAGACTGGTTCAGCAGTGGAAAGCTGACTGATGTGATTTACTGTATTAATAGCAGAAGAAAGCCATA